TTGATAAAAATACCAGTAAGAACACTTTATGATGGTAGCATGAGTCTTAAGAAGAATCAGGGTAATAGTGTATCTCAATCTGAATATGCAAAAATCATAGGTAGCGTCATGTTTCTGATGAACTACACTGGATCGGATATTGCACACGCTATGAGTAGACTAAGTAGATATACACATAACCCTAGTAAAGAACATTAAATTGCTCTACATCATTTGTTAAGGTATCTTAAAGGTATAGTGAATTATTTTTTGCACTTTAACAAATTTCCTACACTACTAGGAGGATATTGTGATGCATACTAGATAATGTGAGTGAAGCTCCACTAGTGATATGTGTTTACTTTTGGTGGAAGAGCTATCTCATGGAAATTAGCAAAGTAGACCTGCATTGCTCATCCACCATGGACTCTGAGTTTATAACACTTGAACTAGTAGGGCAAGAGGCTAAATGGTTGAGAAATCTTCTTGGAGACATGCCATTGTGGAATCTATACTTGTATCCCAACACTGTGACTCACAGGCTACCATAGGGATTGCAAAAAATAGTGTGTACAACAGCAAAAGATGCCATATACACCTGAGACATGGAGCTGTGAAATAGTTACTTAGAGATGAAATTATCTCTTTATAGTACGTGGGGTCCAAGAGGGACTAAAGGGTAACTCAACGGATCCTCTCACCAAAGGCCAAATGAGGAGGGTAATTATGGAGTCCTCATGATGTATAGGACTCAAACCATGATGTTTCTCACTTATGTGAATCCATAGCCCATTATTTGGGTGATTCGTGTATGGACTTGATGGATGTAGTGAAACATTATATGAAGAATCCATAGCCCTTCTTTGGGTGGTCCTTGTATGGACTTGATGTATAAAAGTTCAAATTCTTCATAGCTCAAAGTTTGAATGGTTTATATATGATAGACTTGATGAAACAATAACGTGACTGTAAAGTTGAAGCCGCCTTCTATGAAAGAGTTAAGGAGTATCTTTCTAGAGCTTTCACTATGACCCAAGGTGTTTATGTGCATGACCATTAATAGCACTTGACTGATATAGCGGAATCAAAATCAAGGATCTAAACTTGTCATGGGATTTCAATCATAATTATTTGAAGTTCAAGAGATAACTCACTTTCACTACTCTGGTTGTTGCCCTACTTCACTATGCATTAATTCAAATCGAAAGATATTAATGTTTAAGTTTACTTTCTTTTTTTCAAAAGATCCTTTTAAATTCTCTCTTCTCTTATCTTACTATTTATCATTCCTTGGGGATTGTTGAGAATGACATTGTAAATAAATCTTTAACCACAAATTATCCCATATAGGAAGATTATCCGTTGGGGAGAGGCTTTATAAACTAAAGTCTTATAGTGGGCTTGTAAACATGATTTGGGGTAAGCCTAAATCATGGGCCACCCGCTGGATGGAGAGAGTTGTGGTAGTTAAGGGACACAGAATGCCTTGAATTTTTTTTAAGTTTTTATTTTTTACAAAATAAAATTTTATTCTGGGCCTTCCAACACTATAAATTTAGTGCTTCCCTTCACTCATCACCCCATTCTCTTCTCTTCCTCTATATTCAATTTGTGTTTTATAAAGGATTTTCTGAGCAAGTTTGATTCCACCCCGTTCCGACGAGTGCACGTTGTGCTAACCTTGGGATGCATTTTGATGATACAACGATTTAGCACCGAGGTCGTACCGATTTTGCTTTGAAGGCAGTGGTCTTGTCCATGGCACAATGAAATTATTACTTACGGTTCCATTTTTGTCCTTTTTTTCCAACATTTTCTTCTAGGTAGTTATAGTGATTGTTTTAGCTCTTTGCTATGAGTTCACATGTCTTGGAGTTGTTGTGTAACATTGAGGGGCAAACAGTTGAATCTCAATTATACCACACGGTTGAGTCGAAATTCACTTTTAAGACAGTGACTTCTATGACAGAACTTTATTTTCTAACAACTTGTTACCTTTATTTACTGAGATTAACTAGCTAACGGCCGAGTCAAATAACTTACTTCATGGGAGGACAGTGCCAATAAAGTCCCATATCGTGCACGCACCCGACTCTTATTAATTATTGGTGACTTATTGCAGCTTATTGGGCATCACTTTGTAAGGATTTAGAGCCCACCCCTCTTTTTAACCCTAAACTTTAATTTTAAGATATCTTAGTTAGTTTTAAGTAGGATTAAGCTAACCTACTTCTGTTTTAGCTTTAGTTAAGCGTTTTAGCGTTTTCATGTTTGGTCATATTTAAGCTAAGTGTCTCTTGCGGTTGTAATGTAGGTTGTTTTTATAGGTTGTTTTTATGATGAATGAACGTTGAGAATATTCGACCCTCCCCTTCATGAACTACAACGAACCGAGAGCCCCTATCCCTTTTGCAATTCATGTGTAATTGATTTCAAACCCTATCTTGTTAAAAAAAAAAAAAAGAATCAAAAGTATTAAATTATTTTTATAAATTAAATTCCACAAATTTATTTTTCATATATTTAGCATTGTACTAAGTAAACTATGTATTATTCGGAACAATTGAAATATGTTTTTAGGGACTAAAATATTTTTCTCTTTAGAATAATGACATGTAAATATGGATGGAAGACGCTAAAAATAATATTCCCCCGCCACTAAATTTTTTTAAGAAAAGAAAAAATCTCTTCTCTCTCCATATCGGTAGGGGATGTATTATAACTACTAGTGCTTTTTAATTAATCTTTGCTTTTTTAAGTTAAATTATGCTAAAGTTATCAAATTAAAACCAATTAAGACATGGAAGCTTCTACAAGAAAAATAAGAGTTAAAATGGAAAATAACTTACAACACTATGCAACACAGTACAAATGAACCAATTATTATGGGTGGTTCATTGGTCTAAACTAAGGTTTTAAATGTCAATGTTGATGGAAATGTCGAGATCTCAATTTCATGGAAATATCGATAAAATGTCGATGTCGATGGATATTTCTGTAAAAGTTAGAAATATTAAAAAATAGTAAAAAATATTTAAATTAACAAATAAACATTTTTCCATTGTTAAATTAGTTAAAAATAATTAATATTAATATTATATATATATTAGTGACATTTTGTTGATATTTTTCACATTTTATTGATTTTCTTGTATTATGATGGAAATGTCGATTCATCCCTCATGTCGATGTTGAACCCATGGAAACATGTATATCGATGGACATATCGACGTGTCGATGGATATTTAGAACCATAGTCTAAACAAGTCAAAGTAAATTAAGAAAAACAATTATAGAGAATGGATTTAACGGTTGTCCTTTGAGATTAATTGCATCGCAAACTACCCAAACACTCACACATATGAAAAAAAAAATCCAAACGAAATGAAAAGAAAAAAAAGATAATAGAATTACACGTCTGACAATTGAAGCCCAATATTATGGCCTTCTACTTTAGTTCCATTGTTCACCCTGTGGGAAAAAAAGCGAGAGAGAAAATAAATACACTTTAAAAAAAATAGTATCTAAAATTAAAAAAATTACCACAAATATAGTTTAATTGAGATTAAATATTATAAAATAATAGCTAAAATTATTATAAATATAACAAAAAGTCATAGTATCAATAAATTAGTTATTGCTATGATTATAGTTAGTTAATAAATAGTTTAAAACTGCCTGCAATATTTATAGTTAGTCAATATTTAAATTAACTTTCAAGTAGGTAAATCCATTCAATTATTACATAAACTAAAAACATTATGCAATATTAGAAATAATTAATGATTGATTAATTTTAGAAAATATTATACATTAAAAATTACTTTTTTAAAAAAAATGTAATATTTGTAACTAACTAAAAATTACCTATTCAAATTTTGCATAAGAAAAAAGGTCTAAATCCAATTTTGATCCTTGAAAATTTCATAAAATTTCATTTTGTTTTTTAAACTTATGTACTTTTTTTTCCTTTTTTTTTCCTCTAAATTTCAACTTTGAAATGTTATTTTTTTAGTTTTAACTCCATATAAAAAAATATTTAAGAATTTTTTTGTGAATTGTTTATCAATAATTTAACAAAACACACCAATTATATTTTAAAATTGATTGAACTGCAAATTTCAAATGCTTATCCACTAGACATTTACTCTTCTTTTTTGTGAATTATTCTTCTTATATCTTAAAAGGAAACACACGTTGAAACAAAAATATTTAGAAGTTTAAAGATTAAAATAAAATAAATAGGTTCGTCCTTATTCAATTTTAGCATACCAAATATTCTATTTAAGGCACTAAAACTATTTTATCTCTTGCTATGACTTTTATTATATATTATTCAACATAAATCTACATAAATTTTGTTCGTTTGTATCAAATCAATAGATATCTACAATACATAAGTATTAAAAAAAAATTAATACAAACTTAGCTCAACAGTTATGCATTTTGTTCCTTAATATATCTTGCATATTTAATAAATAATAAATAAATAAATATTCAAAAACCACCTATGTAATAAATAAGTTGTCAGAACATTTGTCAAAATGGGTCCAGATTTTTATTAAATTACCAATAAAATCAACAAATAAAACCAAAATAAATATAATTATTTTGTTTTTCGTTTTCTGCTTTTTAACATTAAGTTTATAAACACTATTCCTATCTACCCATGTGTTTGTTGAGAATCTAAAAAATAGTATGATATGGTCCAGACACAACCCTCATGGTTTTGCTTTTGGTTCCACTCAAAATGTCTGAGGAGATAATTGTCCTACCTTATATACTCATTATCACCTCCTTCTCTAGCTATTTGTTTGCATTCATCTTACAAATCCAAGTTTTTGTTACCTAAAGTTTAAAAGAATTTTCTCAAGTACTTAATTTTATTTTATAATTTTTAAAATCTAACCAATAGCTTAAATTTTATTTTAAAAATAAAATAATAAATAATAAGCCTATCAAAGAAATTCGAGAGAAAGCAAGCATAATTTTAAAAATAGAAAATAAAAAATACTGAACCATCAGCATGGGGGAGCACTGGGGAGGCCGCACTTGGCCGGCAAAGCAAGAGCAAGATTAGGTTCAATCCCAAGCGAGGGCAGCACAAGAGAGTTCTTATAGTTGCAAAAGCACCCGAAATCAGCCTTCGAGAGGCCGTTGCAGCAAGCGACGGGCGGGGGATCGGTAGGGCACGGCTTCGTCACCCATGGCTTGCACGCTGTGAGACCGTCCTCGTCGACACCACACACATTCACCGCTCCCGATATCCCCGCTAAGCTCACCAGTACCGCTACCGCCACCGCTAACGCCGCAACCGTCCGGGTCATCTCCATTGTACTACTATAAGTATTTTTGAGTAAAATTTGAGTAGGAAGTGTGGTTAGTTTGTGTGGTTTAAATATGAGTTTTGAGAGAGAAAATAGAGAGGGGAAGGGAATCATGAGCCACACATTGAGTTCCCGTGAATGGGATTTTGGCAGAATGTGGCTATTGTATTGGGGTCTCCCATGCATTGTCAAATTTCTTTTTCTTTTTAAAATTTTATCTTATTCTTGTTAAATACAACCGATACAGTATAATATTGTTCGTTTTGGACATAACTCTCTCGACTTTGCTTTTGGTTTCACCTAAAAAATCTCATCCCAATAGAGATAATTGTCATGATCTATATATCATTGAATAATTCTATTTCTTTATTAATGCGGGACTTTGCTTGCTCATCTTGCAACTCTAACAAATCTATTTTTTATTGCACGAATCCAATACAAATAGTCAATTCAAATATTGCTTGGTAGATAAGACGCTTAATATCGTCTTATATTCGATGATTCAATCTACAGTCCTATCATTTTTAACTAAAACAAATAGCAATAACTAAAATAATTGTTTTTTTTTACCAAATAGAATAAATCTTAAAGTTTATAGGCTAAAATAGATATTTTACAAGTATGTGAACCACAACAGGATTTAAGTCAACTATATGAGCATATAGTGAAGATATCTATTACTTTTTACAAGATTTGAAGTTCAAATTTTGACGTGTTGAACTCGAAAATGAAAAAATATAATTTAATAAACATATTATATATTGGATATTGGGTGGTAGAGTAAAGGTGAGACAAGAATTTTGATAAATTATTTCCGTTAGCCAATTGACTAATGACTCTTCACGGGTTTCGTTTGGTGGTTTTGTATTCTTTTAAGAAAATCTTTTGTATTCTTCACATGTCTATCATACATGAAATTTCACAAACATATAATTCTTAATATGGTTAATGATACCAAGATTAGGTTGAGAGTTTTAATTTTTGCAACTAAAAGTTGGTGGGTGGAAACGCAATATTTGTATATATCGTCATGCCAAATCAACGAATTTTTGTTGAATAGGAATGGTATCTGATCATATTGAATTACGATTTATAGTTCAAATATGTAATTGAAATTTTTTAAATTTGACTAAATAGATATAACTTTTTAAGATGAATGACCAAATTTGTAATTTAACATATATTAAATTTGTTATTTAGTCCTCTAACGAAATTATCATTTAGTCTCCGTAAAGTTTCAGGAGCATTTCAATTTAATATATGGAGAAGATAATTAATTGGAACTACGACCCGTAAAGGAAGATATTGGTGTGACTACTTGAGCTATGCTCACAACAACAGTTAGATTTATTATATTTGTGATGATCTTACCGTATTACATTGCAAGTTTGGATTTTAAATGTCCTGGGTTGTGTCTACCGGCCTCTAAATTTTAAAAAGTGTCAAATAGATTTTTAGATTTTCAATTTTATATCTAATAAACTCTTAATTAATTAGACATTTTATAAAATTCAAAGAAAATATCTATCAGACACAAAATTGAAGGTTCAAGAAAATGTTAGACACTTTTCTAAAATTCAGGGATCACAAATGTTTGGTAACGTTCTCATTTCTCATTTCCGATTTTTGATAAACACAAGTATTCAGTAACTGTTCGTGTTTTTCGTTTCTTATTTTAAAAAACATTTCAAAAGTTGTGCAATGATTTTGGAAACAACAATATCAAATTTATTCCAAAATATAGATAAAAATATTATTTTATTAGACAAAAACTTGCAATTTAAACATTTATTTATTATATTATTGTTTTATTGTTTAAGAAAAAGGACGTCAAAAGGGGAAAAAAGTTTAAATGGGTGAGCTGAAACCAAGGCCCGTGAAGAGAGTTTTGGGTGGACATGGGTTCACGGGGATAACAAACAAAACTCTTTCAACTCTTTGGCATTATTCTGTCCCCAAATTCAAATAAATATTATTCAGAGATCAACCTAAACCTAATTCAACGAGTTAAAAAAGTTTTCATTTGATCAAAAGATCGTATAAAATATATAGAGGTCGTGTGTTTGAATCACTCCACTCCCACATGCTGTAACGAGCATATCTCAACGATAATTGGATCAAAATATTCAGAACCAAACGACCTCTCCCATGATTATGTTGCTTGATTTCTGCCTCAGTATAACTATTTTATGTTAGGGGTAACTTTGTTCAAATAAATTCTTGAATTCTAAAGAGAAAAAAACTTACTGGGTCAGTTTTACAATATATAATATTTTTGAAATATTTCAAAACATGTTTTTCTTTTTCTTTTTCTTTTCTTTTTACCCAAAAAAAAAAAAATAAATCCAGTCCAATTCTAGGCTTGGGTGTGAAAGGCCCATTATGGAGGAGTACAAAACGACCCAAATTTTTATTTGCCCAAGTAACAGAAATTGTCAATACAAATATATCATTATTCTCAAATTTTTTTTAGTTCGGACGGAGATTTGAACTCAATACCTTTCGGTCGGAGACATATATCTTGAGCTATGCTTAGTTGGCTATCTCGAATATTTATAATTATATATCATTGTTTAATTTTTTTCCTTTTTTAATTTTTTCTTAATTTCTCTATTCAAATATGATTTGTAATATTTGATTTTGAATTTTCGTATTTATTCCTTCTATATCAGAAATATTTATAAATGGTATAAAATAATACAAGGTTTAAAATTTTTAAAAAGAAAAATAATCCAAATCAACCTCAAATTGAGAGAGGTAATATAAAACCATCTCAATTATATTTGAAAAATAAAAAGTTGTAAGATTTTTTACAATACATGCTGTAGTTTCTCTTTAGGTTATTTCCTATCATGTTTATCTAAAATAAATAACAATTTTCATATTTTATTATATTTAAAATCTATTATATCTATTAATATAGAATTATTATATTTCCATTTCATCTTTTAATTATTCATGGTATTGAAGTTCTACTCTCATTTTTTGGTATATTTTTTCTTCTTCATGTTTAAATACCATTATTTTTTACTAAAATTTTTTATAACAAATTGTTTAGAATTTAGAATTTGGAGTCTAGGGTTTTTGTTTATGTACTTATGTTTAGATTTTATTTAGAGGTCAGGATTTATGATTCAAAGTTTAGGATTTGTGTTGAGAATTTAGGATTTTAGTTTGGGTTTGAGGTAAGTTTAATTTTATTTTAATAAAATTTTATTTATTTAGATTTTATTCCTTTTTAAATTTCTTGTTATATATATATATATATATATATATATATATATATATTGAAAAAATATTGCTCACTCTATAACTTTTGTGTAAATAATACTTTTCTACTCATAGGACAACATTTAATACGTATATAAATAAGTTTAGATCTCAATTTGGTACCTAATTTTTAATATATATTTTTTTATAAAAAAAATAATATTCGTGCACCATTTTAATTCTTCAACTTTATTAAAAAAAATTGTTCATAAAATTTTGTACTATATTTAATAGCATCCATTTCTAAATGGATATTTGATTCGATATACGTCTTATTATATATTATTTAATGTATTTAATGAAATTTCCTATTCAAAAATTTATTTTTATTAATTTATATATAATTTGATAAACTCTCAATTTCAAATCATTTTAAGTTTCTTTAGATTTATTATGTGCTAGACATATGACTCAAATCTTGGGATTTTCTTTTAATATTACTATTTTTTAAATTTATTTAAAAAATATTGTCAAATTCAAATTTATTAAAAAAAATAATGCTTCATAAATTCTCTCCACTAAGAGACGACGTAGTCCACTGCAACAGGTCAAGATGACCAACATAGTGGTATTATATGTCGTCTCTGAAGATACGACCTACATACGTGACATTATATGAAAGACGACACGTAGCCACGTTGCTTTTAAAAAAAACACATATGTCACTATTGTAGTAGACTTCTACCAATTTAAAATAATGCACTCCCTTTAGTACGGTGGCTATATTTCAACCCCTCGAACTCTCAAACTAGAAGTCTCGACTTTGAACCTTAAAAATTCCCTCAATTTAATATAGCATCCTATTTCAAATAAGTTATGAATGCATTATTTTTTTGGAAAAAAGTTTGGATTTTTACTATATTTTTAAAATAAGTTTGAAAAATAGTAATATTTAAAAAGTCCCTCAATTTTTATACAGTTTAAATTATATATATATATAACTTATCTATTATTATACCTGACTTTTCTAAAGGGTATTTGTATGCTCTTTTCTCTTTTTTTTCTTTCTTTCTTTAGGGCTACACACCTACTTGAATGGACGATATCATACCTATAGCACATCTCCAAAAAATACTTTGCTTTTTGAAATATTATATAATTTCAAATTTGGGAAAGTATTTTTATATGTAATACTTTTCAATTTTAGATATGGTTCTTTTTATCGTCACTAAAGAGTTTACTCATTCTCTATTTTAGTTCTTGAGTTTTTTTTAATTTAATTTTAATTTCTAAACTTATATATATTCCCTCTCATTTTTATCCTTTAATTTATATCTTTCCACTTTTAATAAATTAGCCAACCTGAACATAATTTTTAAGTAGAATATTGTAAATTCGAATACGTACTAAAAACAGCTTTCAATAAAGTAATTTATTTTTTTTGGAAGAAAATGGCTTCCATTAAAATTCAAATTTGACCCTTTGCTATTGAAGAAAAATGATTGTGCGTGCAATGTGAAGTATGAATAATTAACAGTAGCAATCAAGTTTTCAATAGTTTTAGAATAAGATTTTCAATACAAGAATTAAGGATTTTATTTAAAAAGAATTATATATATTTTAAAATTATGGTACTTCTCGTAATATTTAGAATTATGTATCGGTTTTGTAAGTAAAAAATCATTTGTCCAACAGAAAATTTCACAAATATATATATACACATACATCATCAAATCCATGTACACTGAAATTAAAAAATAATCTAAAATCGTTTATTAGTTAAATAACTACTATTT